ATGCAGTAAAAACAGAATTAAGGGATTTATTTTTTTTACATTCAGCTCAGTTTGTGTCTGAGGCAGTCGCACCTTGTCCAGAATTCTGTGATTTGTGAAATCTCAGAGAATCCGGGTTTCACTGACACACATGATTGACTTAAGATGGTCACAGATTTACGGTCACCTGTTACACTGCTGGCTAACCTCCTAAAAAAATGTATTTTCACAGAATCTCATAAAAGCATTGCATGTGTTTGTATCGACTTCTCTTTGGCTGACTCATTTAATTGCCCGCTTCCAAAGTCTCTGCCCCAAGCCGTCATAAATAAGCGTTTGCAGATGTGTTATTGCAGCTGCTGCAGCATGGAAAATGTTTGGCTCTAGCTACTGAAGAAATAAAGAGGCTATCTAAGAAAAGATACCTTTTCACTGGTTTTCACCATAAAAATTAAATGGGCATCAAATTCTGTGGATTTCATATTAGGCTTTTAAAGGAGTGACATACCTAAAGCAAACGACACCTGGAGGTGTATTGGCTTATGAACCTAAAGGTTAAAATCTACTACCACTGGTGAAGTAGGAAGGAGGAAGTCCTTTTAATGGATTTTATTTTCTGAGAAAGAAAAAACTTCCAGTGGTACTAATGATTTTTATTAATCATGTGTGAGTAGGCTGGCACTGCCTCTGAATGAACCAGTTGTTGAACTGGAGCCCTAAAACCAAATGGAGTAATATTCCCTCAAGTAATGAAAATGGTGGTCGTTTTTTGAGTTTTAGTTCCCATAATCTGTGGAGTCATCCATACCGAACAGCAGTCAGCCCACCTCCTGCTTTACTTAGCACTGAGAAGTCACTTGGGTGCAGTGATGATGTGAAAATGTTATCCACGCACCAAAGTCACATTGTGCTGGAGCGCTTGTCTCCTAAAACCTCACCCAGGTCTTGACAAGGTGGTTTAGGATTTTGGCACTCCACATGTGTGAAGCAGTGAAGGAAAGGAAGTCATATATCTAAATGATCTGATTGTTTATTTAAAGTTTTGTGGAAGAAAGCATGTAACTCCATCTTTACTTAATGAAAACACACCTGACTGGAGTACGTACTCAATGCGTAGCTGCTCTTCCTGTAACTTAGGAGTTCTGTGTGATCCTTCTGTGTGATACCCCTAGAAAATATTAATATATTACTTTAAAACAGATACCAGAGTGGTTGAGCTTGTGCCCTTTATGATGGTTTTGGTGGGCCTGCTGCCTTTCCTGTTGTTACCTTGAAGGGACCATGTTGTTAGGAGAGGGTATTCGCTTAAAAACAGATTTATGGGTCCTTATAGAGGGAGGCAAGAATTGGCTGAAGATTGTAAAATCATTAAGGCTGGAAAAGACTTGTAAGATCATCAAATCCAACCATCAACTCAACACCGCCGTGGCCACTAAACCATGTCCCCCAAGTGCCACATCTCCCCATCTTTTAAATCCCTCCAGGGATGGTTACTCCACCACTTCCCTGGGCAGCCCCTTCCAGTGCCTGATAACACTTTCAGTCAACAGAAGTTACCTTATATCCAATCTAACCCTCCCCTGATGCAACTTGAGGCCATTTCCTCTTGCCCTATCAATTGTTACTTGGGAGAAGAGACCAACCCTCACCTCAGTACACTCCCCTTTCAGGGAGTTGTAGAAGGCAATAAGGTCTCCTGTCAGCCTCTTTTTCTCCACAATAAACAACCCCAGTTCCCTCAGCTGCTTCTCGTAATTCTTGTGCTCCAGACCTCTCACCAGCTTCATTGCCCTTCTCTGGACGTGCTCCAGCCCCTCACTGCCCTTCTTGGAGTGAGGGGCCCAGAACTACACACAGTTCTCTGAACACAGTGATGATGGTGGAGGCTTTTAAGGGCACCATACAAAGTCCAAGAGCTCAAACCTTCCACTGTGTCTGTCCCTGGCTGGGTGCTTAGGCTGGTACCCCACATATATACCCCACAAATTCTGGAGGACCAGCAGTATCAGCCAAAGGAGGCATTTCTAAAAGCAGGTATCCAGCTTGTAGGCAAAAGATTGGATTATTCCTAAGTACAAAGCCTGGAGCTGTATGTCATGCTCGTTTGGGTACTGAGTTGAAGCTTTCTTGACCTATGTTCAGTGTAATTAGAAACAAATTCCTCAAATCCAGGAATTGTTTGGAAAGGATCCGGTAATGCTGGGGCAGTGTGTGTACCCATGTTCTCATGCCTGCCCTAATTGTATGGATTTGCTCATAGGACTCCAGCACTTCCATTGATTTGTCACAGTCTACAAATCCTGGAGTTTCTTAACACCATGATGCATAAGAAATGACTTAAAGAAAATAAATGTGTGTATTTACTGCAAATGCATTATGCACAATTTTATTACATTTATATTAAAATAAGTTGAGATGCATTTTGCTTTATTTACACTATTTTCAGGCTGTTTTTCTTTTCCTAAATGAAACCCTTTTGATGCTCTTGCTTGTCTGGCTGGCTGTAAACCAGGTATTTAAACAAAAATAAAGAGTTGCCAGTTTTGCCAGCTGGGGATGAGAACCCGGCTGGTGATATGCGGGTTCGGGAGGCAGTTAATCCAGCTTTTATGCTTTTTTATGATTTTATGTAAAAAGAGGTTAAAAATCACATTTGGCTCCTTCTTTGTACCACTGCTTTGTTGCTGTTGTGGGAATGCAGCAAAAGGTTGCTCATACTTTTTATTATTATTAGGTGAAGTCCTGCATAAATTAGGTAAAGCCTCAGTTATGGTTCGCTTTAACTATTGGCTGTGTGATTTGCCTTGTTCAGAGAATGATAGGTTTTATCTTCCCGTTGCCTTCTTTTATAAATCACACATGCAAACCACACCTTGACTTACTGGTAAAAAGAATCTACTGCTGCCTCACGATTTTGTATATTGCAGGAGCTTCAAAAGAGAAGATTAGCTAACTGTACAGATAGGAGGAATATTAACAGTGGTAATAAATATAGGAGAAAAATATATAATGCTTTTATTCTGTGGCAGAAGAAATGGTGATTTAAAAACAAGCATCACGGATTTCATGTTCAGTTTTTCAGCAAATAGCTTGCAATGTGCTCAAACTCATAAAACATTTAATTAGTTTTAAAATGCAGGACTTATTTTAGTTAGCTTTGTAATTTTTTCAGATAATTTGTTGTATTTTACACTTTCCAAAATTTCACCCTCTATTTGGAAATATCAATGATGTAACAAGTCTGTGTGTTTTGGCACAATTGTAAATAGTATGTGTTAATGTTTATGATTTTTTAATCTTATATATACAAGAGGAATTTGTAATACACTTCATCATGTTTCTACTACTAATCCTTAAGGACAGTGAAGACTAGGAATATGGATGCATTAATTACTGTGGGATTGTCAGAATTGCCATACTGGATCAGATTGCATTGTACCAGGTATTTGAGAGCAGGCATGAATTAACTGGAGGAGAAAAAGGAGATAAATGAGCTGGACACCCCTCTTTTAGGGCTGGCGAGGGTAGCACACATGTCCCGTGATGCGGTCATGGCCACTTCGTATCCCCAAATGGGTGAGAACTGCGTCTGCCCTTGCTTCAGGAGAAATTATTGGAGGTCATCTTACACTTTTTAGACAATCACAAGATAATGTCCTCATGGATAAAGTTTATTTCTGATCTGTTAGAGGTTGCCTTGTACATTAAAGCCTGAAGGCTTTACCAGATTTTCACTATTATATATTTAAATGACTGTTCCTCTGTGTCTATTTACGTTTTGAATTTAGAGGAGCTCTTTGTGGTGGCGACTGCCTGTGTCTGGGTGTTGTAAAATGTACTTTGGCTTCTGTGGATTCGTTTGTTGTTTCGTTATTAAATTAGTCATATGTGCTGCTTTTCAGCATTTGGGACATGGTTCAGTGGGCATGGTGGTGTTGGGTTGACGGTTGGACTTGATGATCTTAGAGGTCTTTTCCAACCTGCATAACTCAATGATCTGCCTTTTAATGGTACAGAAATAATTTTTTATAAAGATTTATTTAATTATTTAATTTTTTATAGTCAACTCTATCAGTTGCATTTCTTTGATCTTCCTGTTTATTATTTAAGTCTATTTTCTTGTTTAAAGGTTTTTGCCTCTTTAATAGATCTTTCTACGGCAAATATTAGCAATTTGGCACATACAGTGGTAGTGCCTTCTGTATTACCATTTATTAACTTCTAGCTGTTGCATCTTTTTTTAATGAAAGAGTATGATCTTCTAGAAATACACAGAAATTGGAATTATATCTGTATATATTCAGTAGCCTTCGGTTTCCTTATTGCATATGGGTATATATATTGCTTATATTTCATTATGGGTGTATGCTGCTGTTATGTTGTCTCCATTTCTACAATTTCATATGAAGGTGTATTAAGGTCAAGACCTTAGGTTCCTTATTCCAGTTCTTGGGGGATGCTAGGAGTCACTGGTGTCCTCTTGGACTCTGAGCTGTTGATCACACCCCTTTGAGTGTGACCATCCAGCCAGTTCCTTATCTACCAAGCAGTCTATCCATGAAACCCATGTCTCTCCAATTTAGAGACAAGTATGTCCTGCAGGAGAGAGTCAAACGCTTTGCACAGGTCCAAGTAGATGACATCAGTTGCTCTTCCCTTGTCCACCAGAGTTGTAACCCCAGTCGTTGAAGGTCACCAAAATTGTCGGGCACAATTTGCCCTTAGTGAAGCCACCTCCTTATTTGTTATGTACCTTAGCATAGTTTTCAGGAGGATCTGGCCCATGATCTTGCCAGGCACAAGTTTGTATTTTAGCAGTATGGTCCCTGGAATTTCAGTGAGCTCAGGTGTGTGGGTCAGCACTGCAGTTGCATGTATCGAGCCAGGTTCTGGGAGTCCCTGTAGCACACTGTGAATATAAAGTCTTGGAAACATGCTCGTGTAGAGATTAATCCAACAGACTGAAGCAATCCTGTCTGAAATAGGCCATGTCTTACAGCTGGTTTTGGTTTCTGTCTTAGGTGCTGGAAGATAATGACTATGGTCGTGCAGTGGACTGGTGGGGATTAGGAGTTGTCATGTATGAAATGATGTGTGGAAGATTACCGTTCTACAACCAAGATCATGAGAAACTATTTGAACTGATACTAATGGAGGACATAAAATTTCCTCGAACTCTGTCCGCAGATGCAAAATCCTTACTATCAGGCCTACTGATAAAGGATCCAAATAAGCGGTAAGTGAAATCACTTGGATAAACAAGCATAATAAACACTCTTAATTATACCGGGTAATGTAAAAATAGGCCAGTGGTGCCTGGTTTGTGAGCTGAAGGACATGTCAGTCACAGGAGAGGGCCATATGTAGCCATATAGTCTCAGATTTCCACTTTTTCAATAGAGCAACGATACACAAGGTGAGCTTAACAAGCAAAAGGGGATAAAGTGGAAGAGAACACTTTTTTTAAATCATTCACAGCAAGCATAGGGATCCTTTCAAGTTTAGATTGTACTGGAACAAAGGGAAAGCTCTGAATTGTTTTTCAGTGTATGGCTTAACCCTGAGTTGGCTGTAGTGTCTCATAGGAACTACGGCACTTTTTCTTGGAAGTGATTGTGCCAGAAGACATGTACAGACAGCCAGCCACAGCTAGATTTTATTAGGGCATGGAAATAGATCACATATTAGACTGTTAAACTGGAAACTCGTTAATGAATACATCATCTGAGTGAAATCTAAATACAGCAGTTTGAAAGCAAGTATCACCCAGCTCTTTTGTGGTGGGCTTTTTGTGGCCTAGGAGAGCCATTTTCCAGTGCTCCTGCACTGCATGAGCAGTGTCCAGTCCCCTGTGGTTCTAACACAAATCTCGTAAATCAGTGAGATGTGTCTGCAGGGTCCCCCCTTTCCCTAGTCTCTCTGTTGTTCTTGTGAGTCTCTTGGCATGTTTTAAGGCTGCAAGTGTTTGTCTGTCTGTCTGTCTCTCTTCTCAGGAAGTTTTCCATGGTGGGCATTGCATATGTTCTTGTAATTAATCTTTGCAGAGAATAGTGTTTATTACAGAATTACATTTACAAGCTTATTCATATTCCAGCTCTGGTGCTCGCTAATGCTAACTGGAGCGCAAGCACAGGGGTAAACTGCAGCTTGGCTTTTCCCTGAGCAGCTGGGTGGGGAGATGCTGAGAGGAGTCTGGAGACTGCAGGCTACCTGGGATGCTTTCCACAGGTGTAGAGAATTTTACAATGAGTAGTTGAGAAAGAAAGAGGAATACAGCTTGGAAATGAGATAACTTTATACCCAGTTACTGCAAGACTGAGGTAGTTGTCCAGAATATTTTTGTAATTTGTCAGCAGAGTAATACCACTAGAGGTTTTTTTTGTTGCTCCTTGCAATAAATTTTTAGAGAGGAATTAATCTGACTTAAAAAATGGCTTTTAAAATTTCTCTTTATATCTTTAGCAGTTTTTTTTAAAGAAAGACAAATTGCTTGTGTCACCCTTCTTGTCAATATTTAACATGTATGGACTGTTTATTCAGTTAAGATTAGTTGGGTTTTTTTTCTGTTGCAATTTCTTTCTGTTAGACCAGTAGGATTGCCAGTTTCAGGAAGAAGTTAGGTGAGAGCCAATCAATCCTGGAAGTCCACCTCTTTAGGGGTTCCCATCACTGGATGTGTGGCGCTGTCTCCACCAACACCAGCAGCTCAGAGGAACTCACTAAACTTGCCAAATCAAATTTGAATTGCTAATGCAACAAAAACCAGCCAGGTCTTTCTCATTTTCACATTGCGAGGTTGGTTTTCTTCTAGGTTAGTGAAGTTGTCAGTGGGAATCATGCTGTAGGTGCAAGTGAGAGGGGAGAGTTATGAGGAGGGGTGAAACCCTTCTTTTTTGGCAGCAATGGCCACTTCCATGAGCTCAAATCACCTTGGGCAAGTTCTCCCAGAGGGGGTGGAATTTACTTCCTAGGGTGATTTGCCTGAGTCTGGCTTTGGCAAGCTATGGGCCACAGTGAATAGTGTGGTTATTTACGATGGCCTTTAAATAACCTTCTCAGCAGGCCAACAATTTATCAATTTATACTAATTGACTCAGATTGAGACTCTTTTATGGTAATTGGTTAATTGTTACAGCACCCAGACGCAACAGCAGTGAACACTGTATAAAAATGATGCGTGAGTCATTACTGATTCAGTGCCTAGTACCTCCTTGGCCAAATTTTGTCAGCTTTGTTGGGTTGGTTTTGGTTTTTAATAGTGCTAGAACATTAGTTGGTCTTTCAAGAAAACTAAACTTAATTATCTTTATAATGAATGAATTATTAAAAAAGCTCATCATGGACAGTAATGAACATGGTAGCTGGAATAATCAAATAGAATAGACCATGGCAAGGATACTTCTGCTATCTCATTGTCTCATGAGATCACCCAAATTCATATTAAACAGATGAGAATGACATATTATACAAGTGAGAATTGTTTCCAGATAGTCAAAAACAAATGGTCACTTTTCCAACCATTACAATAACTTAATCTCCCTTTAAGAGTAATGCTTGTTTAATAAGATTTTTTTTTTCCCCCACTCTCTTTAGACTTGGTGGAGGCCCAGATGATGCAAAAGAAATCATGCGTCATAGTTTCTTTGCTGGAGTGAACTGGCAAGATGTATATGATAAAAAGGTATGTCTTCATATGACCTTGAATAATCTGGCTTCTGCAGGGTGGTTTCAACTGGTAGTCATTGAACAAATAATACAAATTAATAATTATTCTGAATTAGGTGTACTGTCTTTATCTTTTGGGATTTTTTTCAGTAATAATTTGTTAGTGGAGCAAAAGAAATTTTGAAAATCAACTTGAACTCACCAGAGATTTTTGTTTTATTAAGTAAATGTCCAAATCTTTTCCTTTCCTTTTTTAATTCCTGGGCCTTCAAGAGAAAAATAGGTGTATGACTCAAGATAATGTGAGAAAATTTAATGGAGGCTTATCCTGAATAATCTTTTTGTTTCTGCCTTTTTATTGAAAAGTTGTTTTATGGAAATAGGAAAATGAAGTGATTGGAAGGGACTTATGGCAGAAATCTGCTTTATGACTGTTTGTGTTTAAGTAGAAAACTTTTTCAAACTTATTTTTCAAGAGAGATCTAAGAAAATTAAAATAGCATTAAAACACTGAGCCAAGACAGCTTGTGGAGAAAGTGAGTACTGAGAACTCAATTGGAACAGTTTTCTTGAAACCCAGTCCTGTTCCTGTAATGATCAACACTTTGGGGATGATTTTAGAAAATGGATTTGTCTTACTCAGTAATGAAACTCAATTTGACTTCAGTTGTTTTATATACAGAAGCTGATTTTATCTCAGTACTTGTGTAAGAATTTACTTGTTGCTATAAACCCCTTCTATTTTGATAGTCTTTCCCCCTTCAACTGTTTTACACTGTTAATCTGCCAGTTGAGCTGCGTAATTTCAAAAGATAGATTTTTCTCCTTTTTTTGCTTTGTTCAAATAAAAGAAAAACGGCAGACATACGAATAAGCAGAATATGTTTATGCTACAATGTCAATGATACAAACTGTTTTTTCAGTTGTTGAACTGGAATTTTAGAAATGTGTGGTGGTTGGTTTGGTACTTCTCTGACAAATACCAGGATTGAAATAAGAGCTTGTGTACGCTGATATAAAATACGATACTCTGAAGTTACTTGATACAAGTGTGATTTTTCCCTGGCAGTATTGTGAGGTTTCAAGAAACTTCAAAATAAATCATCAGGGTAAATGTATTAATTGGGGTACTTTATGAACTCAACCACTGGTTGGTTGTATAGGGACATTGTAGAGAAGCAATTTGAGGATAAAATCTAAAAATATGAGTTGAGAACCTTTCCAGAGTTTAAAAAAACCCACTGAAATCAATTGGATTGCAATGTGCTAGGAGTAGGTGAGAAAGAAAAAGCTGTTACATTACTCTTGCTCTGTTGTAAAAGATTTCTTATTATTTTACAGTAGAAATAGAGCTCTTAATTCTACACTGTGTTCAACATCACATTTAAGACAATATAGATATTCTTAATTTTTAAGCATGTGCCTTGAATCTTTCCAAATCAACATGGCAAATGTCTTTCAGTCAAGATCTTATTCTAAGCTATTAAAATAAAAGGAGGTATTTTGCAGGTATAGATATATATGAAATATTATATAAGTATAAATATATATATACATATATAAATGCAGGTGTTTTGCTTTTATGGTCATGGAGGTGGATATGGCTTATTGGAGTATCATAACTGGAGAAATTGTAGTCACTCGTTTACTCTGTCCACTGTTGCTTTGAGAAACTAAATTTGCCAGTAAGAAGTGAACTGGATTTCCTCAGTTGAGCAGTTTACTTCAGGGAACATAGGAACTACCTTTGTGCAGTGTTGGCACACAGTGCATTCTTTATGGAAAAATAACCCATGAAAATGACTTCTGACAGTATGTTTTTGTGTGTAATTAAAAACTAGTTTTGTTCCTACTTTGAAGCCGTTTGTCTAGTTGGTTAAAATATCCAGTTGTTCCTTCCGCACACTCAGTCTTATCGGTTCTGGAGTGTGCAGCATGTAAGACTGTGCTCTGGAATATAAACTTCAAACATAATAATAAGGTTAGTGAACTTTCACTGAGTATGCTTATCAGAACGTTTATATGAATATCTTTGAGGTTTTGGTATTCTAAAATAACTTGGGAGGAATGTGCATCAAACCGATTTGATTTTCAAATAGATTTATTCAATGCTTGCTTCTGTTGCGGTTTATTATTAGTAGCACAGTCTTCAACAGTAGGGTCACTTGATGAAATTGATAGTTGATGTAATTATTTGCATAGTAAAAATATTTCACAGTATGCTTGCCTGAGGTTTATGCACCATGAAACTGTAATTTTCTGGCTGCATTTCAGGAGTGCGTTTCTGTTAGCAATGGCGGAGCTGAACTTCACGTTCAGAGTAGTAGAGACCAAAAAATCCTGTGTATTCCAAGTAGTTGCTGGGGGATAGTTTTGTGTGTGTGCACACTGTGCTCCTGTGCCGCTAATTTTACCATTTTGACTAGAGATTAAATACATCCCTGTGCTTACTAGGTTATCACTTTACTGGTGTGATTAGAGATAGAATTATCTATCTGTAAACTTGGAGTATTTCCTGCAACAAACAGTAGCTGTGTCAGGTCAAATGGATCCAAATGGTCAAATGGAATTATTAGCACTCTGATACTGCTAAGTAATTAAACTAATTTGGTACTACACAGTGCTAATAAAATGTTGTATGATACACTGGAGCAGAGAAGGTCGTTGCCTTTAAATGAAAAATGTATAGTAGTTAGCATTTGCGATCGGATGTATTTATTTTTGGCAGAAAAACCGTGAGGGCATATGAAAGAGAGCAGCCTGTGCCAGGTTCTCCCTGTGATCATCTCAGCCCTGATGAGTTTTTATCTCTGTGCCTGAGTATGAGAAATTGAATAGTTTGGCAACCTCTGAAGACTTCAAAAGCTGATATACTTACAAAGAAAATATTTGTTTTATTTTTAGCTAGAATCAGGAAGCTCTTTTAAATTCCTCTGTTACTCATTTGTGAATTGTTTTAGCAGATTTTTATTTGGGTTGCAGAAATATTCTCAAGTTGTCGGATATTCTGTCTAGGGTCTTTCACCGAACACAAACCACATGGGCGTTAATTTAAAGGTAGGAATCTGTGTATGTCTTCAGCCTTGCAGCTTGAAGCGCTCAGGTAGCCTCATGGCAAAGGAGATCCACACCTTTCAGCCAAGCCTGGGTTTCCTCCTGACATAACATGAGTGAAAGGAGAAGAAAGAAACTGTATGGGAATTTGGGCTGAGATATATATATACACACACACACATATATATATTTTCATATATTTCACATACCTATATTTCACATTATATATATATCCATCCGATTCCTGATAATCCCTCCAATTGTTCCTGAAGCAAATTAGAGGGTGCTAACAGATTTATGTGTTGGTATTGAGAAGGGTGCAGAGGCAAGTGGCAGTGATGGCTGAAGCTGAGATGCTCTGAAGCCCAGCAGCTGTTCCTCACTCTTCATTTATTTGCTTTATTTAAGACACAAAACCAGCAGATGATGAAATCCCATGATTGAAGCCCTGGGTTCAGACCTGGCAAAATCTGCAACGTAACTATAATCTTAAATGCACATTTAAGTACTTTCACATGTCAGATTTTAAGGGAAAGGGCAGGAGGGAAATAGGAAAATGCCAACATCTGGCTTTAGGCCACTGCTATTTGAGTTGTACTATTTTTGTACAATTATCTGCAGTGCAACAAAGGCTTGTAGCAATGACCCTCGTTATTTGCTTTTGTGTTGTTGCCATGCAAAGTAGTAAAAAGATCAGAAAGTGCGGGCTGGTCTGATCTTTTCATCGTGTTCCCAGCAATACTCCAAACTTTATGAGCAGTGGTTGATTCCCGCCCCTTCCCCCAGCTGCCTGAATTTACGGGGAGGAAAATACCCGTAAGGATTGTCTGAGTCTGAAACTTAAATTGTTGCTTTGGTCTTGGGGGATGTGGTTTCTCTCTGTCTGTTCTGTCAGCACCGTATCACATGGAAAATGGACTTTTTAGGCAACACCCCATGTTGAGAGTCTAACGTTGAAAGACTGAAGTAAGGTCTTGCGGTGTTAGTGTCTCTGTGTGATTTTTAGGGTCACCAAGCATTGGCTTTGACAGGAGCTTAAAAGATCTATAAATGAGGGAACGTTAGGATGTGCATCAGAAAAATGAACACTTTTGAGACGAGCTTCACTAGTGTCCTTTTAAAATGCTTTCTTGTGATATTTTGTAAGTTAATGAGTTTCAGTTTATGTGAAAATAGACTGTACTTGGAACGTCATTTAGTAAGTTAGCTAGTTTGTTAATACAAATACACTTTTTTTGAGTTGAGAAGTCTGTCTGTGAATTGTGACATGTTTCTGAGCATGCTTGTGATGAAAAACAAAGGCGTATTTCAGTGATGTGACCCCATTCTCTTCTCACAGTATAATTTACTTTTTCCGCTGTTCTGATTTGGCAAATCTGTCTCTTCTGTTTGATTCTTGAAAATAGCAGCTTTGCAGTTTTGGTTCTCTGGGAAAGTTTAAGGTATATGAAAGTTTGGTTTCTGGACATCAAATCATGAACACTTAATTACCAATACTTAATTAACTTTCATGGTCAGAAAGAACTGTGACATTCGCCAGAGATTTTGACATATGTCAGACTTGAATAATGAACTAGATGGAAACTGTTGAAATACAGTATATGATGACAAGACAAGACATTACTTAAATACCTATTTTGTAGTTATTTTTATAATAAATTTTCAAAATACATAAACTGTGAGAAAAGCAGAATTCATCTCATACATTGTAATTTATTAGTAAAGAAGAGGCATACATGTTGAGATGCAGCAGTGATTTTTTTTAACTGGACACCTTGAAATGTCATACTGAAGCTGAACCATAAGTGAGATTCAAGTAGTTACTCCTTATGAATAAAACCTGAAATTGAACAACAGTGCTCACTCTTTAGTATTTATATGATACGTAAAGAATGAATGTGTTTGGGAACTTCACGGTTATAATCTAGTTATCTAGTTTCTTTAAATGAATAAGACAGTGGGGGGTGTATAGCTGCTCCCGTTATGCTTTTGCACTTTACCTCAGTGTACTATTCAGCTGCAGTCTATTGGTGGATGGGATTCTTATGGTGGTGTTAATTTTGAGTTCATTGGAAGAAAAATGCCCTTTGAATTAAAAGAAGGAAGATCAGGTGGGTGTTCTTAAGCATCATATTTTGCATGTGGCAGATTGAGCGCATCACAGCTACATTGAAGTAGCTTCAGCCACTTCCTATAAAGCACCAAGACAAACGATTCCTGGCACATTGTCTTTGGGCAAATAACGTCACATATTCTCTCGTGTGGTGAAGGATTCGTAAGGTTATTCAGGAAGCTCAAGGTGTAGGGTTGAGCCTGTCCATCCATCACTGTGTGGGTGTTAAAGGTACTGTACCTGCCCCCGAGACATGGGTGGCAAGCTGCCCAAGCCTGGAACTGTGGAAAGCCAGGGGTGTTGCTCACGCTGCTCTCAATGGATGCCGAAAGGACATGCCATTCACTGGAGTTAATAGAGATGCTAGGAAATTGGTGCTGCTTCTGCTCTCATTTCTCACACTCAGCCTTGGAAATGGCCAGGGCAGGTTCAGCTTGACAGATGGCTGTGAAATTGGATTCTTGTCTTAAGCATCAACTCTTACAGTCAGTGAACTCACACTAAGTTTACTTTTATTTCTTTGCTTGTACACACACACATATATATGCATGAACACAGAAAATGTGTATTTCTGGTCCTTAAGAGTGAATAGCTGGGTGCTGAAGGTGCAGTCTCCAGCCTGGTTGGAGTGTGTTCTGTCTGAATTTGGCCAGACCGCTTGAGGAGGAAAATTGTCCCACACTTAAGCTTGGCAGCCAGGATGGAGCAGCACAGTTTTCCTGCAGACTGACAAGGCCTGCGCTCAACCAAAGCTCATCGCGCTCCTTTTGGACGCAGGTTACTGGGTGTGCCTGGCAGTGCCCACATCACGCTTGGACTTTGGGACTTGTCCTGTCAGGATTGGGGCAAAGCTGTGGCGATAGCAGTTGGGCACCATTTCCTTGTGGCACCAGGCATGAAGTGCTGCTGGGTGTAGAGAGGGATCATCAAGTGGTGATCATCAGAGCCGCGGTTAATGTTGGGTGGTTTGTTCTTGGCCATTGAGCCTCAGGTTCAGACCCCCTTGGGATGGATAGAGGAGCTTCTGGTTCAGGCTCTGTGTCTGTCTTGGTGCTTCTCTCTGCAGCAGTTGGACCTTACTTGTCTTTCTAGCTGTTTCATTGCAGCTGAAATTTGTGGAGATTTTGCTTTCTGTTTTTAAATACAGTCTGACAGCTAATGAACAAAGGTGGCACCCCTCCAGAAAGATGATTGCCAAGTTTCTGCAGAGTGGCCTGGCGTGTTGGTGACATGGCTTACAAAATCTGTCTCAAATGGCTCTGTCTCCAGTCTCCTACGTGTGGTCTTGAAGCACCGTGTTCTCCTGCATACACTTGCACACATAATTTCTGCCATACTGTGTGCTTCTGCTTTCTCTGAAAGGTTATCTTCCTAAAATGAAGTTTTCAGAGTATTTTCATAACCATTACTGTTTCAGAAGATGGAGAGAACAAAGGGGTGATCTAAAGTCATAGCGAGGCCTGTTCATTTCAGTGAAATTAAAAAAACAAAAAGGAAAAAAACCCTGAGTAAACCAGTAATTAGCCAGTAAGTTTCTGAGGAAGAAACTTGTCAGCTAATGCATTATCTTTTTCCTCTCCCATTGCAGATCCATATATTGCTACATATTATCATCTTACCCTGCCCTTCCTTTCGTTTTTCATGAACTACCTTGACCTAGAGACCACAGAGTGAGCGTTTGCTCCTCTTCGCACAGGAGCTGTAGCACGTGGGGACTCTGGTTGACTCCACAGAGTGGTTTGTGCTGCTGGGGACGTGTATTGCGCCGTTGGAAAGACGTTGGCTCTTGGCCTTTGACTTGAGAAACAAGAACGTTTGTCTGAGGCTTGTATTTTCATATGCAAAGCTGTCATTCTTGTGAAATGGTATTTTCTGTTTCTGATCTGGAAAAAATGATGCCAATCAGGGAAGTAGTAAAGTTGTTACAATAACCTGTTATCAGTGGGTTTTTTTCATACTGAATTTATCTGACATTTACTTCAGTAGCTGAGAACTGTGAAAGCGTCTTTTAAAAGGACGCCCAGTGGTGGTCACTTGGCCTTGTGCAGAGTGCGTTACTTGGCTTCATGAAATCTGCCTTTTTGAGTGGCAGACTGGGATGTTCACTGGAGTAACTCAGTGGCTGCTTTGCTGAGGGAGGACGTACGACTTTGTAAGTCTGCTTTAATAGTGCAGAATTGATTGGGATGGCCAGGACACATACAAAGTTTTTCATAAGAGTGTGAGGATTTGTACAACAAAACAGAATGCTTTGTTTTTAAACACTGAATATAACTGGATCTATACCTGCAACATTCTTCTTATGTTGAGCATCTGTATATATCTCCTTAAGCATTTATCCTACAGTGCCCAAAACCTTTACTTCAGATACCTCTCTGTGGGTGTATGTTTTCTATTCAGGAAACTGAATTTAGTTTTGTAAAAGTATTAATGAGCTTTTTTTGTACCCTCCTGAGTATATGCAAGTAATAGATTTAGTTTTGCTTAATAATTGCTCGGCCTGTTACTGAAGATTTGAGTCAGATAAAATAGAGGCTTTAGTATGTACTCAGATTTTTTTTTTGCTGTTGTCTTGACGTTTAAGTGCCCGGTTATGCACTTTACCACATTTTAATCCCTTATGCTTCATCCCAAATGGTAAAGTAGTAGGAATTAATATTAAATTTTTTCTGGATAGAGACCTAGTGTGAAGAGCATCACGTGGAAAGCCTTTCTTTGCCTGGTTGTGCAGCACTCCCTGCTTACACAGTCGTGTCCTCATAGGACAGGCTGGCATTTTTAGGTTTTGACTGGCTCTGGGGATTGTGTAGTTTCCTTTGATTAGCGCTGAGATCCAGAGCTGCTTCTGACATTCACCAGTTCATGCAGATCTCTCCAAACTGTACAAAAAAAAAAGTCTTGTGCATCAAACACAGTAAAATAATGAAGACTCTTACTATTGTAAAACACTGTCATAAAAGAGAAGAGCACAACGTGTATCGTAAATTGTCTAGTGTGTTGAACTTACTGAGGGGAGGGGATTTAGCAGCAGCTCTGCTTCCTTTGCTGTGGGGTAATTAACAAATGAGTTTTTGTTTAGTGTTGGTGGTCTGGAGCTGAGGAGAGAAATAACACAAAACCAGTGAAAAGCACACATGGGCTCTGATAACATCAGTGAGCCATAACGTACCCTCTTACATAGCAAGGGACATTGATACCCTCTCTTCAGGGGGTGTGTTTTAAATCATGTATGAGGAAGGAACACCAAAGGACTCCAGGTACAACCCAAAATATTGTTGTCCCCCGCCCCATTTCCAGTATTATACTTACTGCATTGTTTGGATATCCCATCGTACTCCATACTGAGTATGCCTTCCAGTTCAAATCTTGGGCCCGCAGGCCACTGTTCTGGATAGAAGGTGGACTGCAAGACTGCTTCAAAAGAGTGCCCAGCATCCCTGCAGCTCATGAGAGTGGCCTGAAGTCGGAGTTTCTAGGCAATTATCATGATGCAGCTCAGTTTATCTGCAAGTCACACGAGAGCCATGCTTGGAGTTTAGCAATGTTGAGCTATTAGCTAGAGCCTGAACTGGTATTTTTGGGGTTGACTCTGATGGCTTCTGTCTCTCACTAGAAGTTACAGACTCAGCTGCCTCTCTGCAGAGCTACTCACTTGATCTGGGGTGCAGAGAAAAAGAATAAGTCATTTGTTTTCCTGGTAGTAATTTTGCTGGCTTCAGGTAGAGTAATTTCACTTTCTTTCTTGGTCCCTTTCAGCTTGTACCTCCTTTTAAACCTCAAGTGACATCTGAGACAGACACCAGGTATTTTGATGAAGAATTTACAGCTCAGACTATTACAATAACGCCGCCTGAAAAATGTAAGTCAGAAATTATGCATAAACATAACTTAAAAATAAACAATTTATAATAAACCACCGTGTAAGGTTTTTTCTGTTTGAATGGAAAAGCTATTCTCACTGTTAGTAAAAATCTTCATATGGAAGTGTGTACAGTAACTCTCAATGACAGCGTTTTCTTAAAGAAGGAGCAGTTACGAAGCTGAGAATCTGAGATCACTCTGGATTATGTGTTTTTTCTTTTTAAATAAGGGAAAACAGCAGCTTCAGATGTCTGCTGGTTGGCCCTTAAGGTCCTAGTTCAGTAAAGTACTTGGAACATGGACCCTGCCTTAAGCATGTGGGCTATCCACGTGTAGCGAGTTTTAATATTTTAAAATACTTGGAAGACCTAAGGAGAAAAAAAGAAAGAAAGAAAAAAAAAGACCTTCCAGAGACAAGTGGATGTCTCTTGTGTAGGCAGCAATTACTTGAAAATGAAATTTCCTATCCAGTTCTGTGCTTCAGCACAGCTCTTAAAGGAGTTACTAATACAGATGTAACGGCTGCACTGGGCCTTTCACAGACTTTTCTTGTTGGGGTAAATGTCATTTCTCCACAGTTTGTATTTTTGTCATCTGCTGCTGCACACACACCAATCATGGTCTGTTTGGCCAAGCTAGGGCTCAACGGAGCTACTGAACCACGCCAGAGCACTTAAAATCTTGCTGCTGAGTTCTTGAATGAATCTCCTCTCTAAGTGAGATTATTGTTATTTTTTTTAAATTTGGGGATGGGGAGGGAGGATCACAAAGGCAGACAGTTACAGGTGATAGTTAAGGTTGGTTACCTGTTCACAGAGCTCGCTCATTTTCTGGTGCTTTAGGATTCCCAGGTTTCGCTGCAGTTTTCTGTTGGTATACTGAGCTGCAGTATTTTCTGGATTTTGCATTTGTAGTGTCTGGACACAGCCATTTAAATGATTTTAAGTCTTCCTTGGGTGAAAAAAAATAACTCTTTCTTCTGCCATCTCTCTTGAGAAGAATTTGTTCATGTTTGTAATTTGAACAACTTTTGCTAAAATTTGGATCAATTTGGAGTCCATTGATTCAATATCCTAACGTTGTGATCTCTTGAAACTCCATGTATACAATGAGAATGGCGATTTATCCATTGAAGGTTGAAGCAATGCAAAATATGTGGAAGCTACCAAGAGTTCAGCTTTAAATTTATTGAATTCGGAGCAGGTGATCAATACCAATGCTACCATTTTTACTGAACTGCAGTGGTTCAAGGACCACACGGGGTTTTTTTTCCTTTTCTGGGTATTGCAGCAAGAAACAGTTTTAAATTATTAATTTGGTATCACTTGATGTGATGATGCAAAAGGGGGTTAAAATGTGTTTTAGGGATGGAGGGATCTGTGCCTCAGAAAGCTACTGCTGAACTAAAGATCTTACATAGTTGCAGAAATAATCTTCATAACATTTAGGCCAGTTTTTCAGATATCAAAGTCTTACCAATCATGCTAAGTGAAAATTGAAAATATATCTTGTAGCTACAGTAATCAAACTGAGAGCAAAACGAACAAACAAGCTCTGTACACAAATCTAATTTAAATTGACAGCGTAAAAGGGAGATTGTGTATGAAGTTGCAGGAACTGAGAGGCACTGCAAAAGTGACCCAGCCTAACCACAGCAATTGCCCAAACCTGCGATAGCTCAAGATTTTATATGTAGAATATGTGAAGATACAAAAGATGTATATTTCCTAAAGGTTGCTTATAAATACATCGTTGGAATAACAGTTACAATAGGAGTCTTTAATGATAAGCACTATTAAAAAATCCGTGTGAGAATGTAGATCCAAATTCTCAGAGTTAGGCAACATCTGGTGCCTGGTTTCCATTGGCACTGCAGGAATTCTGTAAATAAAAATATTTATGAATTTGGCTTGGTCTGTGTTTCCTCTGATCCCAGTAAATACTGTAAAAATAATTAGTTTGCTAAAAAAATAATATGTAAGAATTGAAACACACAGAACCTGAACAAATTGTTCATTTTGTAGCTGTTTTTCCTTTTAACTCCCTTGGAAAGGGAGGAGTATTTAAATACGTCTACAGTAAGGTCATAATTTCCTGCACTCAGCTTCAGAAGCAGAGGAAACTGGCTGCTTCTGCGCTGGCAGCCGCTAGATGTGCTGGTGTGTTTTGGGCAGCCTGGAATGGGCGGTGAGGATGGAGGTTCTCAGGTGATGGTCGTGACCAAGCCAACAAACCAACCTACCCATCCTGAATTCAGTAAACAGTGACTTGCTGGAAGGGCATCCTTCAGCTTCGGCATCGAATGTGAAAGATGTCATGCGTATCCGGTGAACGATAACATTTGGTTGCAAATATAATGACATTTTGAACTTCTCCCTTAATGCAGATGACGAGGATGGTATGGACTGCATGGACAATGAGAGGCGACCGCATTTCCCCCAGTTTTCCTACTCTGCAAGTGGACGAGAATAACTTTTTTGTTCTGCTGCTTCACCGTCATCCTAGGTTTATCACTGAAAATGATTCCTGAACATCACCACCAGTGCTAGATACTATTTCAGATAGTGGGGGCACTTTCAGAGACCATTCCAAATTGATCGAGTTTCTTTCCCAAACCTACCTAAAGCCCATTTTGGTTTTGCATGAAATAGGAGATTGTTCTCTACTCCGCTGTCCTGCTGTTGCTGCTGCCCACAGTCTCAGTGTAATGGCAACGTCAAGAAGTTACTCACGATTCCTTTGGAGGTAGATGACTTGACTTCAGCGTTGTACACTTTGTGCACAAGTAGTCATCTATTTTTCATCACAGTGGAGGCTAAACATAAAAAACGTGTTGGCCCAGCTTATCTTCTTCCAGAAGATGAATCAGAATTGTAATTGATCTAAAAAAGACTAGCCCATGACATTTTCTTGCATCTGTTTGTGCTGGTTAGAACAAGGCAACGTAGGGGTGGTGATGTACATATGCAAGGTTTTTGTTAGGCATATCATTACTTGAAGCAGGTCTCTGTCATTAACACCTGGCTGGAATTCGTTTGGGAAATGTTTGAGAGAAGGACTTAAACTGTTGATATATATAAATATATATATATATATAATTTTTTAATTACTGTTGGATACTACAGAAGAAGCAGAAGGGCTGGGCTCACCCAGCCTGCCGCTTAGAACTTCCAGGTTCACGTGCAATCATGAAGAATCGAACATTATACATGCAAGAAATGAAGGCGTAAAAGCAGCAGTTGAAGTTGTTTAAGGGGTCTTATAATTTGCACCAGATAACATCTTTCTCATGCTTTTCTTTTTCTGTCATGATACACATCACCTCTGATGGCTGAAGAATGTAGACAGGCATAATGGTATGGCTTTTCACCAAAACGTGTGCACCAAGGTAAACAGGTGTTTGCCTTACTTGTTTTTATTTTGAAATTGTGAATTAGCTTTTTCTCCAGGTGTTTAACTCTGAGTATTCTTTTTTTTTTTAATTATACTGCGGTAGTATTTATTTTTAGAGATAAGGATTGTATGTGTCATGTTTGCAAATGCTGCTACATCTTAGGTAGAACAGGCTTAGAGCAGTTAATTTTGTAATATATGGAAGGACTGTACAAGCTGAAGGGAATAATGCACTTTTCTCCCATGTGGAAATTTTAACAAGGCTCTGAAATTGTACGTACCGCATAGAATCAGATTCGGGTGAACGAAATCCTGGCTTTTAATTCTTTGGCAATGGAGGGGACGGATTCCAACTTCACGTGCCAAAGGGTTAAAAGCAAACAGACAGAAAAGCTCCATCTTGTGCTTTGAGATGTAAGAGCCCGACAGCACAACAGAAATTTTCTGTTCTATATGAAGGAACTGCATTTGAACAACGAGACCAGAGTGGTTACAAGAGAAGCACTTTATTTTAATAATTAAAATAGTCAATTTCTGGCATCGGCCATTCTCAAGGAAGGTTTGCCCTCAACCAAAAGAGTCCTGAGAGCCAGCGTGTTACGTGTAACCGCGGTACCCGACTGACCAAATTTAAAATGTCGCGAGATGTCCCTGATAGGACAACGTCTTTCCATTCCCGAGGATCCGTACCTAACAGAACGCGTGCATAAACTTCAGCTTTGATCTTCAGCAATGATAATCTTAATAATAAACCCTTTGGTGCTAGGAGTCGGGGCGTCACGCAGCGTGGCGGCAGCGCACGTTGCCCTTGCTAACGACGTTTGAAGCCCCTGACTCCATGGGATTATCATTGGAAGTCTCTCCTCGTGTGCTCCCGCCGGGACTGTGGTGCTGCGGGGCGCTCCCGGTTGCGTGGTGTGAGTGAGTGGGTGAGTCTGGAAGGAGAGGTGTTCCTCCACAGATGCCTTAGCCTCTTGATGTGGCAAGTTGCGTGCCCTAGCATGAAGCCCACTGCTGGCAGTGCACGTGCTGGGACGGTCAAGGGGCGGACGGGCATTTTAGCAAGGCAGCTATAGACACAGACTAATTTAGGCAATTTTGTCATGTTTCGTGTTTTATCTTTAGTGACGGATAATCAGTCAGACATATATCACGATGTATATTCTAGTTACGTGGGATCTCATTCTGTCACCTTGTAACACTAAGCACGTGGGGAAGTTGTGCGTTGCAGGGCTGTTCTGCACCGGTGGTGTCGAGGTCTCTTCCCTGACGCAGTGAGTGACTGACTGCAGTAACTGAGTACCTAATAGATGGGCATTAATTAGTTCTCTGCAAAGGCCTCAGACTTACAGACTAAAACTTCAAAACCTGTGTTACACGCCTGTGTTTTGTCCCCTACATTCTCAGCTCGTAACAGCAATAAGTTTCTCGGCCCAGGGCGCCTCGAGGTGATGGCCAAGGGGCGCCGTGCCTCTGCCCGGCCCTTCCTCGCCTGCAGAAGCAGCCCTGTGGCTCGCTCACCATCGCCCAGCTATTTAGAACGTGGTTTGCAGTAAATATCTGCCGGGGAATTATTCGGAAACCTTTTAAGGCTTCACTTGGCGTTGCATTGCCTGTCTGCTGCAACGTCGCTGATCCAGTTTGTGCTACGGAGAGAGTCGGCGGCCATGTTGTGCCGCCTGGGGATGGGGGTTCTCTCTCTTACCCGGGTTAGAGATGGGTGGAAGACAAATGGGCAAGCGGTGCCAAGAGAAACTTGAGGGGCTCTGCTGTTGCGGGTGCGGTTGTGGTTGGCTGTTGGAGAGGCGCTGGTGGCTGGTTACCTCTCATGCTCGGACTCCAGCTTGTACTGACTTCCATGACAGACAGTGTACGTGTACGGCAGCCATCTCGGAGGAAATGGGTCACTTCTGTTTGGATTTTGGCAGTTTTGCACACAGCTTTGCTTTCCACACTAAACCATCTTCCAGTACATTCCTGTTGCTTAAAGAACATTTATTCCAGTATTGTTTTACATTGTTTTTTTTTCCATCTTTACTTGCGGCTTCTTAAAGCTGACTGTTCTTGCAGGGGCCATGTGCTTCTCCTAGAGTACAAAAGTAAGGTCTTTCCTTACAAACTGCAGGGTCTATATATTACACCTCAATGTACACACTTTGCTGCTACTGTTTGTACTGTCTACAGTAGAATTTCCTTATCTTGCTCCTGGTAGTGCATTACAGGCAAGCATGAAATGTAAAGTATTTATTTAAATAAAAACCTCTAAATTGGTAATTGAATTACCTCCCTGTAGCTTTACAGTTTGTGACATTTCTTGACCTTGCTAGTTCTTTCATTAGATCCATGCAAGATCTAGTCATACGGTTAAGGATATTAAGCAGACACGACTATGAACCCAAGAAACCGTATTACTGTTGGTCATACTTAAACTGTTTATTTCCTTAAGTATATGACCCACGAGGATGTGAAATAACTACAAGAAACTGTTTTTTGTACACTGTACATCCTTAGTATTTTTACACGTATATGATAGGGATGCACATTATTTTCCTTCGTACAGACAGCTTAAATAAAGCACTATGTCAATCTGCTACTTCTGTGTTTTTTAATGCTAATTTGTTCTGGAGGTTTGTAAATATATATATATATATATATATATATATATATATATATGTTCAAGCTTGCCACAAAGGACGTATTTTTTATATCTGCACATTACTATTAAATATCTTAGAGGATAAAATTCCTAAGTTGTTCTGTGTCAGAGAAAGAAAAACTGAAATGAGAAGGCTATATTGCAGATTACAAAAGATTTCTCGAGTTTTGGGTTAAATATTTACTTCATATTTTAAAGTAATTTTATATAGGTTAGATGTTTCAATCCTGAAATGCACAAAGAATTTACTTAATTTCTTCTTACAAGAAAATGTACATCGTTATTTTTTTATCACTGTATATATATATATATAGTTATCTGTGCATGTTTAGTTACAAGTTTTGTTTGCTGTGAAGTCCTAGTGATAACTGTAACTCGCTGTGACGTATTTCAAATGCTGGGTGATCAGGTTCAGCTTGTAAATTATTAAGTTACAGTACTGTCAAAAAATAACTTTTTATGACTACGCAAGCTGTATCTGTGCTTTGGACCGTGGCCATTTCCACTCAGGGTTCACGTTAACCCCAGGAGGTTTGTGTCGCTTGTAAAAGTAAATTCGAGTTACGCTTTTCAAGGGATGGTTACGCAGGGATCCTGTCAGAACACCCGCAATTTCAGCGATTCCTCGTCTGATGCAATTCAAAGCCTCGCATCCCATAGCTGGGCCATGGGCCAGAGTAAGGAGAGGGGAGAAGGGGGGACGGTGGGATTTGCAGGGCAGCTGGCAGCGGGACTTGGTGACGCCCGTGAGCTGGGCCGGTTTGCCCCGGCTGGCCGGGAGGGCTGAGTGTCCCCAGAGCAGGCGCTCAGCTGGGCTTTAGCCCAGTGCTCAGACATGAACGCATCCCCAGAATAGAGGTGCTTCATCTCAGGGGTTGGTTTGGTTTTTTTTCTTTTGTTTGTTTTTCCTTCTTTATTTTTCTCCCCCCACCTTGTAGCAGGAAGGAGCAGGTGCCAGCCAGCGCTAGGTTGGTGCTCCTGGGAGATTAGTCAGCAGGACCTGGTGGTCAGGCTGGATCATGCTCTGGCCCCAGACATGGGATGTCCTGGGTTAGATCGCCTGGTCCAGCACCTGTACATGTAAAACCGAGTGTTTTGTGCCTAAGTAGCAGACAGGAACTGGGTGAGACACAGGAGTCAGACAGAGCTGGTGCTGTCTGTGTGTAATGACTCATGAATGGCTACAAAGTAGAGTCGCTGCTGCAGAAAAACTGGGTCCTTCTAGACTTGCAGGTTGACCAGGGAGGACTTTTCTCCATTGGGCTCTCTCGTCCCTAAAGACCCGAGGCCACGTTAAGCGTGTTTATTGTCACACTGGTGCAGCAGTTGAGGGAGGAGATCAGATGTCTTTGGCAGTTTAATATGGCAGGAAATTGAAACAGGGAGGAAAAAACACTTTGATGTAAGGGCCGTACCACTCATAATTCTTAGAATTCAAGGGAGAGAAAGATTGTGTCCTGCAGCAAATGGTTAAGTACTGCATGTGGTGTTTCTTCTGTTTTTTTTGTTACATTTTATGTTCATGCTGGCTGAGGTAGCTTTATTAAAGGAGAACTGTTCTTTGAGTTTTGGGGTTGGTTTTTTTATTGCCCTTCACTAATGGAATTCTGCAACTACATTGAAGACTACAGATGTAGAAACCTTTTTGTTATATAGTAAGTTTATCTTACACTAGTTAGCAAGAGTCAGATAAATTCTTTCTGAAACAGTCTGGGATTTGGAAAGTAAGTTTTAAAAACCCACTTCAGTGTTGAGAGCCAGGCACTCACGGCTTAGCCCTCAGTAACTAAGGGTGCCTTTGCTTAAAGGCTTCACCCTGAGTGTTTTGGAGGGAAACCTGCCCTGTGGAAATGCTCAATGGAACATTTCTCAATCATTCCTGCGCTCTTCTCGGGGATGAGTTGGTGGGACTCGCACTTTTGCATAAGAAGTGACAATACTGTGTAAAAACAAAGGTCCCAGGGAGATTCCTGTGATGAGTTTATAAACAGGAGCGCAGTGAGCTTGTGCAGGCCTTAACAGTCCCTGTTTCCCCAGGTACATGCTTGCCCTTGAATTCAAAAGGACAGAACCAGGAAAAAAATTCCAATTAGGTTTATTGATAGTTCAGTCTGTAAATAAGGCATCTATGTACAATCATAAAAATAGATAAAAGCATTTTATAAAAAGTGGTACAAATTATGAATTGAGTCCACACTACGTAACAGCTGTTAAAACTGGCCTGCAAGCCCAGCCTTTTCAGCAAAATTTCAGCTGTCTTCCTTACAAGTGTGGTGGGCTGGTGACTCTTCAAAGTATTTACGATTCCACAGTTAAAAACAGTTAGAAAGCAGTTGAAATGAGCCAGCAAGTGCCTGTTTTCTGCAGAAGTGCCTTGGGCGAGCCTCAGCCAAGCCCCAGGTACAGAGCAGACCTGAAAGATAAAAAGGAAGAAAAGAGAGGGGTGTGTAGGTGAGCAGCCCGCATTGCCATCGCTGTGCTGGTGTTTCTTGTGTCACTTCAGCCTGCCCGCGAGTTCCTAGAAGAGAAACGCGGACGTGGTTAAGGCGACGTAAACACGCACTGGGTCAGAGCCCACGGTCCTGGCCTCTGTCTCAGGGCAGAAGTCGAGCAGGCAGCGAGGACACGAGCGATTTGATTGCTGCAAAAACAGCATCTCCATGCGCCGGAGACATGGCTCGTGGTTAGCAGTAAATAACTGAGCTCTTGTTTTGGGGCACGTCCGAGATCCTGCTCCTTCTCCTTGCCAGGAAGGTTTGTGCCAGAGGGTGTTTACCGGGAATTGGAGCACGTGGGGACGGCGCGGGTGGCTGCAGCGGAACGGGAAGCGGCTGCCAGGGGGGACGGCTCAGTCACAGCCCCCCAGCTCCTGCATGGCTGGGGGCTGTGTTGTGCAAACCCTATTGGAGCGAGGGGAGCTACCTAGAATTAAGCCACTGGAGTTCTAAAATTTGAATTTAAGAGCTGTAAATGACCTGAGAAATAAACTTTCTACTTTGGCTGGTTTTGTATTAGAGGACTAATAGAAGGGTTTGCTTTTCGCTTGCTTATTGTTCCCCCCCCCCACCTTAGTTGGTAAGACAGTTAGGGCTGAGTTAAAAGAGGAGAACTGATGAAGCTGCAGTTCATTAAAGAATTAATTAAAAACAATAACATGGTACTTTTCTTTTCTTCCCCTCCCCCCTCCCCCAAATACATGCACTAACACAAACTGCTACAGTGGTGTCTGCAGCCAGTGCAAGGGCAAATGAGCTACAGCCCCTGTGAGCCTTGGCGCTTCATTTTATGTCCGTGCCTGGAGCCTGACAGCCAGGGGAGACCACTCTCTGTTTTGGTGATGGCCAGCATCAGGGTTCAGACTGATTCAAAAGGTCAAACACCGCCCCCCCCAACACTCGGGTCCTGAAGAAGTTTCCCGGCAGTTGTTGCTGTGGGTGTTCACCACCCCCTTTTTCTGCCACGCAGCCACCGTGGTGGCCCCAGCAATAGCCCCTGTTCACTCACTGCTTGCCCCCCTCACTGCTAAAGTGAGTAAAGCTATACCCTAAGGCTCTACCCTAGGGTAGAGACTCCTTTTTTTTTAGGAACCCCTTTTCCTACAGGCAGTTTGTACCACCGAAGTTCAAAACATTTCCACCCTGGCAACACCACACTGCCATATATGCCTCTAACTCAAAAGCTGCCATTTTCTTCTTCTTGGTACCTGCAGCCACAAAAATAAGGCCTCATGTGCCTGTACACATGTGAAACGGGTACCACTACTTCCACCCCAAAGCCTCAGGTGCCTTCATGTCTTTTGTCACCACCATTACCCAGTGAGGATGCTTCGGGAGATGCTGAGCCTCAGCTCGACTGACAAAGCAGGCATTTCTCCACCTGACGCCACCCAGGCCTCACCTGCTTTGAAAATAAAGCACAAATCTTGGCAGAGGCTCAGCATACCACCAAACAGCCCGGATGCTAACGCAGCCCTTTCAGACGTGGATGCCAGTCTGTCACTCCTCATTTCCAGCTAACTGCCCAGTGAGTTGGTCAACGGAGAGGTAGGGGCCTTCCCCATTTTAAAGTTTCTCCTCCTCCCAAGAATACTTGGGTAATGGGCGAGACACAAATTGCTTCCTCCCCTCAGTGGCACCTGTTTTAACTGGGGTATTCTGGGGTGCACAGGTTGGGAGGTTTTGTAGGAGACCCATGGCCATCTGGATGGTTTAATTGCTGTTACCTGTGCTCCTGATGGAAGGGAGAGGAGTCACTACTTTGGTTAGAAAACACTCCGGTGGCTTAGGGGCCTCAATCCTCATTTGCACAGCTGAAAAACCCAAGGTGGAGCTCAGCAGATCCAAGCTTAGTTCCTGAGCTGCTCCCCAGTTCTGTCCACTGGCCAGGCAGCACCCAGGGGGTACAGACCTCCTGCAACTGCAGGGCCACAGGCTTTGAAGAGCTAAATATTGGGGGATGCAGCACTCCACGTGTCCTATCAGGGCAGTCAGACATCAAGCAGAGCTCTACCTGCATCCACTCCTGTAAGTTTAACTAAACTCCATCCAAGGAGTAATCAAGACTTTCTTTTCACCTGCTTAAAAAGCAAACAAAACCCCAACAACCAGCTCCTGCCTGTGGAATGGCACTGGCTGTTAAAAAAACAAACCAAACCAAACGAAAAACCCCAAAACAAACAAACAAAAACCACACCACCACAAACTGAAAACAACAAAAAAAACCCAAACCAGAAACCTTCCCTCCAGAGGGGAAGGCAGAGTGGCAGCGTGGACAACAGCCCGAGCTGGGGGTCATCCCCAAGGCCCGAATGCCGTTGGTCTGTGCTCATGCTGGCTCAGCTGGGCAGCAACCCCGGCTCTGCAAGGGCATCAGCAACCCAGACAAATACTAACGTCAACTGGTGGGCACCAAGGCAGATCCTGCAAGTGAGGAGCATCCCAGCTTTCAGAAAGATACACACATTTAAATTTAGTACTGGTACAGGAGGGGAGCTCAATATCTCTTCTCCTCCTGACTTGGCACGAGTTGCAGTGTAAGAGACTTTCAAAGGTAGAAACTCCAATCTTTTCAAAACTTTCAAAACAAGAGGTGAAAGTCCCATAATTAAACTTTTGACTACCATTATGTGGACCTGAGTATGTTATACTGTATACCACTATTAAATATTAGTCTAATGGCCTGATGCACAGCCCATGCTGTCAGGTCAGGCCACATCACCATACTGGTCCTTCTTAGCTCTATGGAAACGAAAATTACAGTGGGAGCATCTTCATCATGTTGTAGGCAGGTGGTTGTTCTGAAATACTACTGAGCTTGTTTCAGGAATAGGAGATTTAACATGATTATTCTAAAAGCATGTAATTCACTGCTGAGAATGGGAAAGATGCCTTCAAAACCTGTGGTACTTGTCTTGGTTAATCCTTCAGCAAGGATGCTGAAAGCCTTGTAACTCACAGTGCCTGTAAGGGAATTTGGTGTAGCAGGATCATGTGTTTCTTTTATGATGACTTTTTTTCAATCACTTAAAACCCCCAAATTTTCCTTACAGCGTCAAAGGAGCTTTCCATGAAAAACAGACTCTCAGCACACCAGAATCCAGCTGGATTTTAAGACATCTTTTTTTTTCCTCTTCCTCCCCCCATACAGCAAACACTAACAGTAGAAATCAAAATTGCAGTAGAAGTAACCTGAGTCTTGAAAACAAATCCTATGAAAGGTATAGGTTTGTCAGTGTCTTTTTTTATTTTTATTTCTCTAGGTCAATTAGATTAAAATAAATTATGCAGTTTTAAAATCTGGGACTTCTAAATTAAGAAAAAAACCCAAAAATGTGGCTCTTACAAGGCAATAGGAACAGCTATAGCTATGTAGCAGTACTGTGAGTCCAACAGCACTGCTCCAAATACACCTTTTTGTATTATGTTTCCTTCAACACAACACTAAGTTTTATGATTTATTACAGAACAAGTTGCAGCCGTTTTGAAGAAATAGAGAGGATTCTGCTTCCTCAGAAGGAAAACACTATTGGAAGCAACAGTACTAACCAACTCCAAATCAAGAGACAAACACCCAGAGATTATCCAGACCAAAAAGCACCTATGGTAAAATCTGGACTCTTGTAGAAGTTCCCACCTTGCTAAGAGTTTTATGTTCCCTTTCTCTCCAATTTAAGTCTTTAAGATTTTTTTTCTTTTTTCTAATTCTGTCAGATAAACCTGTCTTTGCTGTGGAGTGCTTGTCCTAAATTTTTCAGTGCTTAAAAAGACAAATACAAAATGCTCCAACAATTTCAAACACTTTCTTCTCCTTTTTGTCTCAAAGTGTTTGCCAGATTCAGCCCACATCTGCAAATAGTTTTAGTCCTCCTTCCTCTCCTTCCCCCCTCTCTCTATATATAGGGTACAGAAAAAATACCTACTTCTGCTCATTCCTCTTTATCCATCCAGGTTTTTACTTGGTTCCATCTGTGTCCTGTTTGAGAGCTGCATCCCATTTTTTTTCCCTGAAATAATGCAACTGCAGTTAGTAGTGGCTTATGTTCCAAGATACAATAGCACAGTTAGGTCAGTGTATTTTACATCCTTTTTAAAGATTAGGTATAGTTGGTTCCTGCCTTCCCTGCCCCCCCCCCCCCCAGAAAAAAAAAATTGATTACAAAGAAAAACTGTTGAGCCATACAGCAAAATGTGGAATATGATGTCACTTTTAGCTTTGATCAACACCGATTCTGCTGTCGATTTTTTTTATACTAACTACACACATCCTTCTGTAGTTAAAATCTGTCACGGAATCGCACCAAAATGGCTACGCGCACACAAATAATGAACTCAAGCTTTAATCTGCAACTGAAATGAAGCAGACAAAACTTCATTCACCAAGACAACATCCCACTGACAACAAATACAGGATCAATATGCTGGTTGGGAATATTACCAGACACGGCTGAGTTAAGAATTCTTAAGTTTTAGGCCAAACGATCCAAAATGTGCACTCACTCACTCACTCACCGAAAAGGGAGGGCTCTCAATCTCGAGAAGTTACCTTAAGTGGCGTCCCAACTCAAGGGGAGAGTCCCCGACTGCAGACCCGCTGCTCCGAGGAGGACCGACTCAAATGAGTCCTCCGGCGGGGCACCATTTATACCCTGGTCGAATCTGATCTGTGGTCAATACATGGTCGTGTCACCCCCTACTGGCTGAGGACCCCAACTTTCCCTCCTTTGACCCCCACTGTGTGGACCAGACATGAGCTGTGAGGGGGGGAGGCAGTCCTGGTGCCACCAAGGCCAGAAACTTTAGCACTGTCTTTGTTGGGTCTTTCTCAGGTCTTTAGTAGGGTGGGTGCATCTGCCACAAAATCTCCCATTTATGGTGAACTGTTCCTTAGTTCTCTTAAACCAATTGTCTGATAGTCCAGGCGGCTCTTTTGGGATGAATTCCAATCCCTAGAGAACCACTGTTGCTTTAAATAGCTACAAATAGATTTTTAGGACTAATTTTGTAATAACTTTTTACATAATTCTTCTCTTCTGAGTGTTCTCAAGTTAAAAAGTATCCTCTGGAGCACAATTAACTTGTAATGAACATAAAAGAGGAAGCTCCTGTCAGTCAAGTCTCGATAGCAGTATAATATAATATCTGAATGATTTTTCCTCTTTTGTATGATTTTTGTACTTCTGACAAACTTCATAAAAGCACACTGGCTTCCAGATAAAGTAGATTATCAGTAACAAAATCTCTGTGGACCATGGAAAGACTTCATATTACAGAGAGTGCTTCCCTTAAAACAAAAAACTTTAATTTTCGTTTCTGAACAGCCACCTTTTAAAACTATCTTACAGAGTGAACACTGGGGTTGTCCTGAAATTTGCCAGGAGTTACTCCATGCTGATAGCCTCACACTACCCCAGACTACCAAGGTTCTGTATTACAACAGGAAATCCTGTAAAACCAAACAGGCTGACATGATTAAAGGCAAAACAAAGTATGGATTTTATTCTCCTGGGTTAAACATTTATTGAATTCTACAGCTAAAAGCCTATGAGAAAGAGTAGGATTTCAATATTTTAAAGTTCTAAGATGATTCATTTTCTGCTTACTGCTAGGTGTGCTACTGGACTACATCTCCTGCACTGCCCTTCTGTTACCTTGTTAACAGGACTCTGCTTATCCTGGGCAAACTCGCTAGTTTATAAATTAGAAAATGTCCTGCTATGGTTGAATTAGTTCATTTACTTAGCCACAAAACAAGGCTTTAATTATTTGATCATTTTACTGAAAACCTCATGCTGTGCTTGTTAGTTCTCTTTCTTATGAAACAAGGCCATGTAAGACAAAGAAAAAACCCAAACCACGCACCCCTCTCCCTTATTTCCAGAGCAGTGACTGAAGAATGGTGACCAAAACCACCCCAACAGCAGCCCACGAGAGCCACAGCTTCCTGGAGAGCACTGGAAGCAAAAGTCAGCCCTGCCAGAGATGCGGCGCAGCGAGCAGTGCTCAAGCAGACACATTTCACCTTCACCATCTCACACTTGGGTGAGTGCTCATGGAGCAGCAGGAAAGATAAATGACTTAAAAATAGAGTGGTAGGGAGACTTAAGTCTGACAAATGTCAGCAAAAGCCTCAAACTATCAACATCAAGCTACTGTTTAAACGTTAATGCTGTTAAAGAAAGGATTTCCCTCTTCTCTGAAAAAGGAACACAAAATCTTCTGATAAGAAAGTTAGGAACTGTCACCAAGAATAAATTGTGCCTTACTGTCACCTCAAAACACCTCTCTCATTTAGTTCAGGTTTAAGTGGGACTCAGGCCCAGCTTTCCAGTTGCAAGGCTTTTTTTTTTTTTTTCCCCTATCAGGTAAATCCTTATTTAAAACAACAGCAGCAACACAACCCAACAGCTGAATTGAGACTGCTGGCAGATTTCTCTGCTAAAGCCACAGAACATTTCCCTCAGAGCTCCTCTTCTCTTGGCACGGTACCTGTGTTCGCAGAAACTGCACCTCTTCTGTAAGCAGCTGGTTCTCTTTGAAGAGCCGATTCTGTTTGTTGAGCAGCTCCACTAACTGCTGGGCAGTGGCCTGGCAGTGCTTGTCAAGCTGCTGTAACCTGGAAAAGAAACAGATAAAAGGGCTGCAGAGCATCTGAAGTTCGAGTTCAGGGGAGAAGCTTTGATGTTTGCACCGGTGGGTGCAGCTCCCAGATGACAGAGCTCAGTCTGGTGGTTGGGCTCAGGCTGAAGTACTGCTCCTACAATGGGCATTCAATACATTTCCTCTTCACACTTTAAATAAGCATCTTTAAAGGTCTACACTTCTGATTATAAGCTTTATCATGACATGAGAGTGGATTTGCTTTGCCACAAAGTGACATCAGTAAAGGCTGCATCCTGATACCCATAGAAAAGCAAGCTCCACACCCTGTGGCTGCTTCAATAACCACAACACACACACACACACACACACACACACACGCTAGCCCAGATTATAAATCCAAATATACCAGCCCCCAGACAAACTGGACATAAAGTGACAAAAACCTTTTGTTTTCTGTCTGCTGCTCTTTACAACCTAGTCAATGCCCAAAACTCGTTACAAAACACACCATTTATTTCAAGTAAGCTTAGTGTTAATGAAGCACGTCAGCATAGATCTTTTAATCATGTAACAGGGATTCCCGGGGAAGGATGTCAAGAGCCCGTCGCTTCAAAGGCCCTCATCAGGGGCTGCAAAATGGAGGGACAAGCTGGCGGGTATCAGAAGGAGCACGCAGAGGCCTTGTGCTTGCACTTCAAAAACAAGCGCCTGAGCTGGGACAACACTGCTGTAGACACGGCAGTCGCACCTTTACTTCTTTTTTTACAGAACCTTGGCTCATTGTGTCCCCAGCAACTATTCAGTAGTCCTGCTGTGAAAAATTTAAAAAGCCTGCTCGGGACCTGCACCAAGGGACGTGAACACAAATAGGCTGGAAATGGTGTTTTTACATTAAATGCATCTCACTCTTTAAATGGAAACGTCTTTAATTAAAAGTCCTTTCTGACATCTTAGAAGCTTCTTGTCTTTAAATAACAGTAGTCTAAAGAAAAACCTACACCTCTAAATGCTGTGCACTTAAAGAGCACGAACTGACTGGTTTTGTCATGGTTAGTTCTGGATCTCAACTTTGCACTTGCTTTTGTAAACCATTTTTTGCTCAACATACTGAAATACAGCTTCAGCTGAGCAAGGTTTTTAGGTTGTCTGTCTCATACAGGTGGTGCTTTTAATGGAATTAGTTCTACGCTTACAATAGGGCCTGTGATTTTCTGAACCTTTCTACTTTCAGCTCCATGTGGTAGTTTTGACTTGTACAGCTGCCATAACTCGGCTAAGCTAATCTCTCTGAATATTCACATTTTAAATTGTGATTGTTCAAATAACTGCACTAGTAAACACCCCAGAATTTCTTTATAAAAAGCTAATAAAACCTAACTGAAACAAAATTGCCAAACATCTATATCGAAACCAGATCCTTTACTGATCTGTATGTGCCAGCCAACTTCCTTGAAATAAGACCACAGCAATCATGGAGCAAACACTGAATGCCACATTTCAGAGTCCTGTTACTCTCCTCACGATTCCTTGCACAGGCGATTTGAGGAGCTGCAGGACCATCTCCTGGGGTCCATGACAAAACTACATGCAGCGAGCTGCAAACAGCAGCAGCTGCTTCTAAATGTACAACAAAGCAAACAAAACCCCCTCTTCGATAGCACAAGGGATTCTACTAAATACAGATACAGATGCTCTGCATCTAATTTCACACTCCCTATACCTTCCAAACCATACCACATTGGTACAGGAACTGTTTATGTTTAATTTCTTTAGTAAAGGTGATTTCAGGGGTGTTGAACTCCAAAAAAACAACCCAAAACTCCCGCACACAAACAAAACCCCACCCTTGTACTATTCCTTGGTCTTTTTTTTAAAGAAAGTAGCTTTCCTACGAGCATCTTGCTCCCGGGGAGTGCAAGAACAAGTGGTGTTTGCTGGAGGCAACGTCGTCGTTTCAGCCCAGAGAGCTGAGTTGTGCTCGCTGCTTTGCCATTGATTTCCATTTACTTGAGGGGGATGTGTGACCTCACTGCACTTCTTGATTTGTAATAAAGACATCTTCTAGCCTTTTCTTTCTAGAGTACTTCTTCCTTAATGGCAGTACTGGTAGGGAGGTGTAACTGGTAAGTGCTGTCTTCAGACAGCCGAAGGAAGAACTCCCATGCTGCCCTACCTATCCAGGGCCTTGAGGCTGTGAAATCCTCCTCATGCACAAGAGCCCAACTCAACTACCAACCACAGTCTAGAGTCAGGCCCTTAGAATTTAAGTTTCTGCTGATTTCTACATTCAATTAATAATTTTCCCATTCTGCTCGTGTTTCAGTCTGTCATAAGAACAATCATACGGTCTTTGAGAGAACCTCTTGCACAAAAATTATTATTACTGGCAGCTAAAGAGATGGGTGAGGAGACAAACCCCTCGGCACACATCTCTGCAGCAAACACAATGAGCAATTGCCCACTGCTGCAGTAGGGCTCATTCTGGCCGCTGATGCAGCCCCAAGGAGAGGCCCTTCCCCAGTGTGTGTCCACTTCAGTGCGAGGAACTTCCTCCAGTTCTGGCACCCAGAGAGAAGACATTTCCAGCTGATGTGAATTTTACAGTGAAACAACACTTTCTACTGGATACTCACAGGCAGCCCATGCAAACGTCAGCCACATTACTGGATTCAAGCCTCGGTGTGCTCTGTTGTAAAGCTCTGTATCCTTTCAGATCATGCAAAGGGCAATTCAGATAAACTACTGTAATTAGCAAAGTGTTTAATTATGGCAATACTACTCAATTATGCTTTTCTGGTTTGTAACTTCACCACCCACCATGTTGCATTTCACCTGTCCCCAGGAGCAGAGAGAGAAAGATGGCACAGGCACGGAGCTGGGTTTGACTTGCAGGCCACAACTTGACGTTTATCCTCTGTATCTATCCTCCAGCACTTGAGTGCAGGGTTAACAACATTCCCTGCTACAATTCTGGGTCGTGATAGATAAAGAGGGAGTAGATCCATGAATTCTCAAATTCTGTCTACCAGTCTGCTCTTCCAAAACTGCTGCCAAGCTGGCCCTTGGTCCGCACGCTGGGACTACCAGCCTGCTCTGGTGCATTTAGCTCCTGAGGACAGGCTCTGGGCCCTCTCACAGGATCTGCTATTACGTGTGACATGTGCAGCACAGCCACACATTCCCATATGCATTGTATCTGTCCTGCCTGCTGATCTCGTAAATGATTCAAGATGAGAAATGAACAGCTCCACCCACCTTCACTGTACTTCCCATATGTTACAACTGCACATAGATGCCTGCCATCATTTTTACAACTGGGTGACAGAACCTTCTGCACATTTTGCTAATAAGAGTGAGTGAGGTTGCACAGTCGCCACATTCACTTTGGCAACACCACCTACCAGGTAAATGTGTGCTGCGTCCTAAGCATCTGAGTGACCACTGTATCCTTGCCCTCCATTCCAAATGGGGTCATTTTTCCACCGAAGTGGCAAGATCTGTCCAGTTGGGATGTTGGGTGGCTGCTCCTCTTTGGCCTGGGGGTGCTGGAGGGCAGGAACTGACTCCATGCCCTGTCATGTTACTTCAAGGCACAAGGTAAAGACATGTAGCTCTCGACCCACATTATGTTTAGACTGCTTACAGGACAACCTGGCACTAAGGAGTAAGCTCGCATTTAGTAGTAATAATAATAATACCCTTCAGATAACTTTCCATTAACCACTCTAAACCAAAATTCCTATTTCTATATGAAGGCAGGTGAGAGGCAGCCTTGTGAGACAAGTGGTTCCACAGAAGGAGAACAAAACTGAGGCATCACAAGCTGTAGTGAATGCTTCAGGGTAAATGTTTTGCTCTGAGCCTCAGTACTTGGAGCTCATACACAGCTTTATGTTAGAACGGCTCCAAGCTCCCTTGCTACTTTGTGCAGCTACAACCTTCTGCCTTAGCCTGCCCAGAAATGAAACAGAAAGGGATAGATTAGTTTTGTTACATTTCAACAACTATGGGTAGACAACCACTGCCAAACCTCACAGAAACTATGTGAAACATCAAACATAACGCAAAGCTTTGGCACCAAAGTGAATAAACTTCCATTGCATCCAACACCACAAAGCTGGACTAGCACACACAGAGTTACATTGAGATTGTCCCCTCGTCTGCAGTCTACAGACAAACCCAAAAGCTTCCTTCTTTTCTACAAAGACACACTATTGAAGCAGGGGTACCCACAAGGTGTCTGCTGCGAGCTCCCTGCCCTGGAGGGCTCATGGGGCCATTAATCCGCAGGCAACTGCGAGCAGTGAAGGGAAAAGCTGGTACAACCTGTCAGCCTTCCTCTGGGTTGGAAAGTTGATTTGAAAGAAATTAGTATGCAAGGATCTGTGGGCAGTGTCCATCCACCCAGCAGTGGGGATCAGTCTTTGACATAGCAGAGGCATTAAGAGGTTATTTACTCTTTCAGCACTGTCAGGTTACTGATGTAAAACATTTTCCCTCTACTCCACGGAGCTGAATTTGCTGAAACGACATGATTGGATTGCAGCAACCTGCAGCAGCTAAATCACCAAATCCAATAACCATGCTGCATTTACTGGCACACATCTTAATTAGGTTTTAATACAAGTAATCTGATAACTACTCCTGGCCAGCCAGAGCAGAGCTGTCAGAGCTGAAAGGGCTGTTATTGAGCGGCTCGTCCGATGCGCTGCTGCGGCCGCCTCCCCGCTGACCCTGCTGAAGCCCCCCATCTGCCAGTTGCCACGGTAACAGAGGGCAGCCCATGGCGCTGAGCAGAGCCAGTGGCCACCAAAATGGGTGCTGTGGCCGCTGGGCACCTCGCTGTGAGCCCAGGGTGCCAGCCGCCCATGAGGGCCATGGTTCCACAGGCAAGGGGGTGCTAGGGCATGGCTACTACTGTCCCCTAGAACTACCAAAACACAAAATCACAAGAATGCATTACTGTGCAGCAAACTGCATTTAGAGAAACAACTTCCTTGTCAGGATGAGATG